CCCACAGCCACTGATTTCCTTTGAGTATGCCATATGGAATTGAACAGCCATAGCAGCACCAGCAGATATGCCTGACACAGTAACATTTATATGTGATGCATCTGTTTCAGCCAAGAATATTACAATCGCAAATGCAATCAAAAATGTATTAAAACTAACTGTTATCATCGTTGTCGGCTTCTATACTGCTATGAAGTCGTACTTTGATATATATATATATATGAATGAATTGAAAAATTATTGTATCGTTCTAAGAAAAAAATGGACAAAAAAAATTCGATTTTTAAAACGGTGAATAGCGCATTCTATGATACTACATGAGAGGAGAATAGAAATAAATTTTCCTGACTACCACTATCAAATTGACCGAGATATGAGAATTTTTTTTTCATGACTGTTTAAACTCAAGGTCATATAACTTTAATAGCATATACGCATTAGTTGAATGTTTCTGTGATATTTTAGATTTTAACGTTGAGTCTTTTCTTTGTAATGAAGAACCATGTTTAATCAAGAGTTAGGACCCACAACAGCATTATTGGTCCTAAATTATATTTGGTTTTTACACTTACAAAGTGATAAATTTACAAATGTACAGTCAGCTAGGGAATATATATAGTAGTGTAATTTTTTTTCTATCAGTTTATTAACTTGTGAGACACAATCTACTGTAGTATTAATTCGCATGGCTCTCCATAGCCCTTTAAATATGAAATCAATTGATCTACAATGTATTTATTTTGGCTTTAGTTGTGGGGTAGTTGTGCACATAACAATCTCGAATGACATTTTCTTAAGAAAATTTCGTGTGACATTTTTACATTGTTTTCTCTTTTGTATGAAAGACAAACTTTCTGATTCTGATATTTGAACAATAGTTGACCACAACGAGCGGATAAATCTTCAGAGTTTCAGCTGGAGACCCGCATCTAATTTCGAAGACTCTATTACATTCTTTTCTTGTGCAACATTTATTTTTCACAATTGTAGCTTCTTTTTAACAAGAAGGTTTAATCAAATAACTAATTAACATCAAATAGAAAAATACAAAAAAAAAAACATTTACACTAGATTAACTTTTACAAGTGATTATTGCGAAAACAAAGATCAGCACCATTTAATATCTCTACTTTCATCATGAGATATATTTTCTTCTTCTTCACGTACTTTTTTAACTACTGTTTCACTTGAATGTTCTGACATAATTGAAACTGCATCAATATTTGATCTTTTTGTTGGTGCTTTCTTGACCTAATGAAATTCTTTCAATAAAACTAAGTTTCTTTTTAAGAAACATGAGGGTGTGGGTGTAAATATGAATTCAATACGCAGACAGAAACACCCACACCCTCTTGCTCTCAAAATATAGAGTAGAATCTCATCGAGCGATTTTGTGATAGCGTATAATAATCCATTCGAGATTATATACTTACCATAATTGTTGTCCAGATCATAGGATAACGGCATAGTGTTTGTGAGAGAACGCGAAAAAGTACGTTTCTTTCTCAGAATAGTTGCAAAATTTCTAGGAGAGTGGTGATAGTGTATTGAATGAAGCTATCAAATAGGGATTATTGTGTTGAAGGACAATAACTCACTGATGATTGCGTATTTATCGAAAGATTTCATCAAGATATGGCAAACAGTGCCAACATAGTCGCATAAAAAGTTTTGAAAGTATGTCATTCGCTTAGTAGACGAATAGAAATGTTAGAAACGATCTATGACGGTGGTATGAAGCTGAGAATACAATATATTGTTGTTCACGTCAAAGAAATCGACCAAAAACCGTCAGTTAATAGAGATTATTTTCATAACCGACGGTTGAGTGTGATTATTTCGTTTGTCCTGCAGTTTTTATGAGATAAAAATCCACCAAAAGAAGTAACACTATTTATAATGATTAGATAGTTAAAAATAGAGGTAGTTCTCTCTATCTTTTTGGTGACTTGATGAACTATAATATGCTATCTATAGTAAGAGTTGTGGTGGATGTTTATATTTATACTAATATTCTCTGATGTTCTTTCATGTACATTGCTTACTTAGCTGTTGATAGATCGAGAAGCTACTAAGCGTTGTTCGCATATGAAGAATTCACAGGTACCTAATCTATTTCCACTGATCGCAGAAGGGTAGTACTCAAATTAGTGTAAATAATGTGTAAAATTTTGAAAGCAGCTTGGTTTGGGGGCAACAGTTCTGACTGAGCAATAGTAATATCGGATTAGTTGTACCTTCGAAAGATTGAATCTTAAATGGCTTCATTTCATTAAAACAAAAGTCACAAGAGTGATTTCTGTTAGTCTCGTATTACTTGAGGGGTTTGAGCTTTTTTTAGAGATGACCAGAACCCACACCGACACACAGTCACGCTCACATCCACACTCAGAACGTGGCGTAGGTTCGCTGGAAGAAATATCTCGCAAAGTACGACACATGTGACACATTTTATCTTAGTGTGTGCACATAGGTTACCTTTTAGTAGTTCTGTTTTTTTTCTTCTGAAGGTAATAGTCGAGCTGAGTGATCACTATGAAACACATCAAACTGGTAGATAGAATTCAGTATTAAAACGAAGTCTGCGCATTTTCTCTTACGGCCGCATAAATAAATTATTCTTCTTCTATCTTACGATTGAATGCGTCATTTTTTTATTGGAATCCTATCTCACTGGTGCCGGTCGTAGACGAGTGAAAAGTGGAAGATATGCAAACAAATACAAAATCAGAGGAAGTAATAATGAGCGTCAAAAATAAGAGTTTCTCCTTTTTTCAACATAATAGCTGGAGGCAATTCTCGCAATCCCTCATTTGTATCAACAAGGGTAGACAATTCTTTTTTCCATAATATTGAGTAAAATAGATGCTTTTTCGACCTTGAAAATGAAAAATCATCATCTTTTAGGTAAATATATTTAAAAAGAGATAGTGATTTCCAAGCTCACTTTTTTTCATTTCACATAGCGTAAGATGGAGCAAATGTAGAACAAAAATGAGTAATCCTTAGTATAATAATTATAACTTTTTTTTATTTTTCATTTTTTAAAAAGTTTTCTTCACAAGATATCTAGCTGTTGACATGCTCTATCAGTTGATGAAACTCGCTTCTGAAAATCTTGTATTGACACCTATTTACAAGATGTTCTTTGAGCACTACTTTTCGATTATATATTTATCTCACATAGGATAAGTGTATAATCTCAGCTATTTTGTACATATTTTTTAAAATCGAACTATTGAGCGATTGTTACTTTTTTTGTGGTGATTTTTGCCCCCAATCGATAGCTCAAAGTCTTCTCATTGATATTGCCATAACTAGTCATGACAATGAAAAAAAAACTCTACAATGATGTGAATTTACTAGAAGATCTCTTAGATACCCTGGTTGAAATAAAATGAGGAGCTACTTACAAAAGTATGCAAACTATGTGCACGTTATCGCTTCTTCACATCAATCTTTTTTCTTGTATAAATATATGTCTCTTACTGTGTAGTGATTTTTTTCTTCATCAGTGACTAATGTAAGATTGTTTCGAAATACGTTATTTTATACCGAAACTATTCGAATTAATATAATGATAATAAACATATTCACTTTCAGGTTTTCAATATTCATTGGTCAAACGAAAATAAATATTTATTTAACGATAGAAAAAGATAAAGATTTAAGTCTATTGTAAAATAAACTATCTAGCATGTTATAGTTAAATAATAAATGGCAAGAGAATCCACGTCAGAAATTCCATCTGGTATACAAATTTATTTAAGTCATCCATGGAATTTAATTAAAACTGGATATCTTATTCTAACATGGATTATGTTGGTAAATTTCATACTTCTATAAATGATTTTCATCGTAGAAAGCATCAGTAAAAAAAGAACAAATTATTTCATATTTAAGGGTTTTCATCTTGAATTGATTGGTCCAACAATGCCAATTCTTGCAGCAAATATCAAAGTTACGTATAGTGGTATGGGTTCGGTGCTTGCATCGAGAAGTGCTGGATATTTAGTTGCTAATCTTCTTGGTGCTATTTTACAAAATATTGTAAAAAACCATTCAGAAGGTCTTCTGTTTTGTGCATTTATTTTACCTACTATTGGTAAAATATTTTCATAACAAATAAAAATATTTTTAAAATTTCTTTCGTTTCAGCGGTTTTTGCTACTCCTTTTGTCACATCATTGATATTAATGTGTGTTTTATCTTTTACTCAAGGACTTTCCAAAGGTTTTACAGATTTAGGTAAGTCAACATTTCCAAATTTTTTATTGAAACAAGTTAAATTTGAATAAATATGTAGGTGGAAATAATCTCTTATTGAGAATGTGGGGTGTCAATGCTGCAGCACCATTAAATTCAGTTCATTTAGGATATGGACTTGATGCTGTTTTTATTAATTTACTTGTTCGTCCATTTATTACTCAAGAAGTTTTATCGCTCAATGTTACAACTAATGAAGGAATTAATTCAACACCTTCCATGGTTAATGCAACAAAAGTTAATCCAAGCATTATTGTTCCATATTCAATCACTGCAATTTTATGTTTTTTAATTGCTGTTGGACATATCTTTTTTTATGTTTCAGAAGTAAGAAATCGAAAACAAAAATTACAAGTAAAAAATGTAATAATAAACCAAAGAGAAAAAATTGAATTAGTTAATAAATGTAATCCGTATATTTAGGTCGACTATACTTCTCTAAGCACGAAGCCAGATAATGCTAATCCTTCAGTGAATAAAGAAAATTCTTCTCCATATTCTCCTCGTACATGTGGTCATGGATTTTTTCAATATGGTTTAACTCTTTCAACAATATTTATTATTTATACATTTTTTATGGGAGGAAATTATCAAACATTTTCAAAATTCTTTTTTTCTTATCTAAAATTTGATAAATTCAATTTATCAACTGAAGCTGCAAGTTGGGGAATGACTCTTTATTGGCTTTCTTATTCTGTGTGTATGATCATCTAATTTATCAATTCATATCAAATAGTTAATAGAAAATGAGAGTCGTGTCAAAAATTCAGGAGAAATAACATGCGACCGATTCGAAATGAACTCGGTTCATATAGCAAACAGACAATCCTTTCATTTCTTTTTAGAAAGATATGAAAAGCTGTAGAGAGGAACTACAATATGAATTATAAATCGAGTACAGTCAAAAAGAAATATTTGTATTCTTAAAAAAAGGAGTTTTTCAGAACTTTTCAAGGGGTTCCGGACGTGAGTACCGTCCGGAACCCCCAATAGAGTTCTGACTAAAATTAGATCCGATGAAAAACTAGTGAAACCATTCATTATTACTTGTTCAAAATGGTTCCGACTAATACAAAGATGCTATATTATGATGATTTCTCGTAGAAAAACCGTCTCCGTTATCGACAAAAGTTCTGCAACGCAGAAAACGCTATGTACTTTCCCGACTTTGCTTCATCGAAATTATACAAAAGTTCGAGCATCGATATTCCCATTTCGAAAGAATCTAAGATAGAATAAAACAATGATTAAATTAGTATTCTAACAGCTCTCACTTTGGTATATCGATTTCTAACTAAGAATATCGTTTTCCTATTAAAAAAATAAATATAAATTATCATTAACTCAAATTCAAAGCAAATTCAAGTTATTTGCTTTTTTTAATTTATTGAATTGAAAATCAAACTGAATTGTTTCATTCGTGCATTAGTTTTATAACTCTTCAAGAGCTATCTAGAGGCAATTCTCACAACTTTCCAAGGGATAGCCCTAAAAATATTATAGGAATCACTCGTAGACAGTCCATGAAAGGTTATAAGCACTCTCTCTAGATAGTCTTTGGAAGGTCATAGGAATTATATCAGATGGTCCTTGGGAAGTTATGAAGACGTGTAAAGAAATAGAATAATTTCATTTCATTTTTAATTTCACGGATTAGAAAAAGCAATGAGAGTAAATTTGGAATAAAATTTGTTGGAACTCTAATTTATTTTTAAATTTGAACTACTGGTTATCTGATGTATGCATAAAATAAGTCAAAAGAAAATCTAGATTAAAATTCATAAGTATACTCGATCACTGAGAAAAACGGCCAGTGATAATATAACAAAGTGTTGCGAAGCAAAAGAAGGGATCCAACATATAATGAAATACTTCTGTCGAAACTACTATAAGTCTTATTTAAATAAGAGATTTTTTACCGAACCTTTTAGCAAAAAGACATTGTCATAGGTACATTCTAAACCATTCTTTTCTTTACCAAATCTGTTCAAAGTTGCATATTTTCACGGATAAACCTTGAACAGTTCTGCAGGACTGGCAAAACCTCTTCGAGTTTAGCATTTTCCAACAGAGAACTTGATATGGTTCAGCATCACTAAATAGAATCGTTGAAGATTTTGCATTATTTGACAGAGCCTGTAGATCTTAAATTTACGTGGTAGTAGTCAATAATCATCTCAACTGATGAATTAGGATATACAGATGAGTACGGAAAAATTGCGTCTGTGATTCATTTATAACTATAATGATTATTTTGCGATTGGAGATAACAGAACTGTATTCATATATTAATTGAAGAGACTGAAAAATATCGACAAATCATATAGTAGTTCCGACCATTTCTTCTACAACTAACAATCTTAGGATTAATCAATAGCAAGGGATCTTTTTTTTGATGAAAATACAAATAATAATCTGTTTAGTGGAGTTTTCGTAGAAATATACTAATACAGTTTAGAAAAGCGCACAACGCGAAAGACCTGAACCTTACGCTGAAGTTAATTTCCTTGGTCTCATTTGAGAAAAAATTAGAAAGTTGTTAGTAAATCACGGACAATATAGTGTCTGACTAGTGCGTAATTAATAAAATGTGTATAAGAAACTAATTAATACCACTTTGATTGTTTCAGTTACGTTTAGTAATGAAATTGCAGGAAAAATAGAAATATTTTTTGAGAATGAATCTACTAAAAGTTTTCATTAAAATATTTTCAAATATAGAAAAACATTTTTATTTGGTTTTTTTAATTATTACAAAAGCAGATTTAATTAAATGAATTTCTATTAATGGACAGAGCTTTTTTGCATGAAAAATTCTTCTGAAATAGAAATTTATTTCTTTTTTCAAAACAGTTAAGTTTGAAAAATAAAATAAATAATTTTTTGCTGAAATAGATCGGGCGATTAATTTTTGCCATTATATCTCTATTTTTATCAGTGAACATGTGTCTTAATATTATTTGGTTTGGAGCTTCATGTCTTGCTACTGCTTGGCTTATCTATGTTTGGATTATTGGTTTAACAGGTACAAGTTTATTTATTCTTGGTGCAGTAACTGGTTTGATATTTGCACCGATATTTCCATTATCATTTGGTTTTTTTAATCAAAGATTAAATGTTATACCAATGCTTCTTGGTTTACTATTATGTGGAACAGCACTTGGGGCCATGACATTGAATAAAATAGCTGGTAAATCTTATAAACGGTACATTATATTTAATTCTTTTTGAATCGTTTAGGTTTAGTAATGGATCGTAATCCAAATCATTTTCCAACGCTTTTAGCTGTTTGCATATTGATGGCAATTATATTTTATATTGCTTCACATCTTGTTTACTTTTTTCATCAACGAAAAAATTTATTACATGCCCGATCTTCAGTAACTAATGGTACAGCTCTTTCTTCTGAATGTTTTAATGAAGAAGAACAACAAATGGCTACTTATTTAAGAAATCAAGAAGATGAATAACAAATTTTCTTTTCATTTTCTGACATTTCGATCAAAAACTTTTTGAAAAAGCTTTTCAGTATTTTTTTTTCTGTTATTTACCTAATAAATAGTGAGTCTATTGTATGTATGGATGTCAGCGAGAGTCAATTAAAATTCACATATTGGTATGAATTTGAAAGACAATGATTATTAAAGGGAATCGAATTTTTTTCTTACAATTTGGGTGCACCAATTCGATCTCTGACCAATTCCAAGCCAAGAAAGATGTAGGTGTGAATGTGACAATATATTTGCTAGTGTCCAACAATCAGAAGATTACAGTCACTCATCATCCACACCCACACTCACCCTATAGATTCCAACTGTTACTGTGTAGATATAGTGTCTTAACGATGACATGAATATCTTGTTTGATCGATATGTTCTTCAATGAGTAAATTAGCAATTTTTGACTATCATAGCGAATAACGAGAACGTTTCTCATGAAAATGTCCGATTCTCTGATGTGTTAGGTACTCGCTTTTCTGACATCAGAATTATATTATTTGCACACCGCTAGAACGAGCAAAGCGAGCTCTATCTGTTGGTATAATATTTCAATGAAGAAAGAAAATGTATAGCTTTTGTTTCTACTTTGCGAACCAAGAAATATAAAAGAAAACAGTGCGGGTATCCGGATACTTTTTGGAGTACCTGTATATGTAGTAGCTGATTCTTATGTTAGTTTCATCGGAAACTGATGATTGGCTTGCTGCTCATGCAGTTCAGGATGTGGATGTGGGCGGGTTTGGAGCCTCACTTCGTACGTGGCCCCATCTACATGCAATTTCTAGCGAAACAAATCAAATATGTAGAATTGGATGGATAGAAAAATTTAATTTGTCAAATAATGTATTTTTGGCTATTCTTTAGTCAATATCTCTATCAAATATAGGGATATCGGGATGAAAATATGACCATAATTACTCAAGTATAGTCCCAACATGTTATGAAATTTAGACATAGATCGAGATCGTTTGTTGAGTGCGGGGGAGGAAAAGCCTTGAAGAAAGTTATTTTGCTTTTTTGACCTATTGGGTCTTCACTGACAAGCTCTTCAAGTGGAGATCATGTTTCGCATGACGATATTTGACATATGACCTTTTTGTGTATTAAGAGGCAAAGTACAGTTTTGATTGCTGAAATCTGAATCCAAAACTGCATCACAAAAGTGTCATGCGTCACTTCAATATTAATTACTGTATAATGGGTTAGTAGATCTTGGAAATCGATACGCCTACCAAAAATCAATTAAGTTTTAGAAAGAAAAGGAGAAAAATATAAAACTAAAGGATTAATTTCGAAAATTGCTTTTNATTCGGATTACTCGACCCTGAATTGCCTTCGGTCAAACTTTATAATGTTCTTTAATCCCACGACCTTTGACCTGCCACAAACATACAGACACAGACAAGCCCATTTTATTTCATATGGCCCTCCCTTCAGTTGAGGGAATAAGCTCACGAAACGAGCTAACTTTAAGATGCAAAACAGTAATTTACAAAAGTTAGGTATAGATGTGAAAGATTCCGAATAGCTCGGATTGGATAGGAATGGATAGGAATGGATGGGAATGGATAGGAATGGCTGGGAATGGCTGGGAATGGCTGGGAATGGATGGGGGTGGCTGGGAATGGATAGGAATGGCTGGGAATGGATAGGAATGGCTGGGAATGGCTGGGAATGGCTAGGAATGGCTGGGAATGGCTAGGAATGGATGGGTATGGCAGGGAATGCCCGAATGAGTTTTTTCACCCTTGCTGTTTACTGTCGAGTATATAGGATATTCTCTCTATCTGAATGACTTAGACATTTGATATATTCTGTGAAGAAGATCACATTGAATCACAACACGATTTTTATTCTCATTATTATTAATTTTCATTATTTGTACACATAAATACGCATACCATGTTCGAAGATCTATCAAATGAAATATTCTTCGAAATATTTGATTATTTATATATGCTCTTGACATTTTTACTGCATTTACTTCATTGAATAAACGAATTTCAACGATTTTACAATAAATTCCACTTCGTATTATTATTGTAAAGAATCATTGTAGTCGTTAAATTGATTTTCTTTCTTCTGATCTTATTTTTCATGTTCATAAAGTTATTTCATTAGAAATTCGTGATCATTCTTCAATTATTAGTTTATTATTTAGTCGACACAATTTTATTAATCTTCAGTCATGTATACTTCTTTCAGTTAATCCATCAGCAAAACTTGAAAGTGTTATTAAATAATTACAAAATGTCCATAAACTTGTTTCATTGGCTATTTATCAACCAAATTATAAAAAACCTAAATGAAAATAATACATACGAGTTCACTCGAACTATAATGATTGCACAAATCATCTTCTCTTCGTTCAATCCTACTTCAATATCCTTATGATTAATCAGATATATCAAATTATCCACCAATAGCTTCACATCTTGCATCACTTCGCATACTTATTTCTGGTTCACCTTCAAATGTATCTGTTTATTCAATTGTAACAATTCTTCGTCATTGTTACACAGTGCGAGATCTACGGATAATATAAGTAGAATATAATGATCTAGTCATTCCTTTTTTTGCATCGCTCCGAGTATACACGCATTCTTTCACTGATAACACGCATCCCGTTTAATCCCTTTTAGTCCCTTTTTCATCTCCTTTTCAAAAAATAAAATTACCTTCAAAGCTCATTATGAGCGAAGGTCGTGACAGGTTAATAAACAACAACCATGGATCGCAAATTATACTCGATTCCACTACGGGCAAATATTATAAAATAGTTGAATATGATCAGTTTCAAGGTGAGGCAAACTGCCAAGATCAAGTACCAAATTTCAATCAGTATAACAACCTACACACAACAGCACTTCAGTACCCGGATCAAATTCGTTACGATGAACAATGTGTTATAAATCAGCAATCAAATAAAACAATTCAACCGTCAGCTCCTAATCAAACGGAAAGGCAACAACAACAAGTAAACAATGGTATTAAGCCTTCCAGAGTAAATTTCACTCATCGTGCATCAAGTGATAATACCAGCACACCACTCGAAACAGAACAAGTACGTGCATTTACGAATGAAGATAGATATGATTACTCACATCAAAATACAGAAATAGTAGTAAACAAGCGGGCATTAAATGATAGTGATGACTTCGTTACAATCAGATCAAATAAAGCAAGAAAGAAAAATCATAATGAAGAACAAGAACAACGTACGACCTCAGGTTTAACTACAAATGATAATCTGAATAAATATGATGTGCCGTTAGAGCAATTGCAGCGAGCTGTTGTTCACAATCTGCCATGCTTCTTTGTCAATTTTCGAGACACTAATGGTTTACCATCAGTAGTTACAGCATCTGAAGAGTTATATGAACATTTTGAGCGTGTAAAGGTGAAACTTAGCGGCTGCTTTTCGATAGTTCGTTATATCGGTAATCAACTCAAGATAGGAGTCAACAATAAAGCAGATTATCAAATTTTGTGTAATGAAAACAATTGGCCGGCCGAGATTCAAAAGAAATCAATAAAAATAACAATGCCAAAATTCACACCGGAACAGTTCTCACTTGTAGTGCGTTATATTCCATTGGATTTTACTGCTGAGCAAGTAGCTAAGGAAGTAAAATTATCCGCAAATACAGCTAGCAACTTTCGTGCAATCATTTATTCGTATCCAAGATCAACGAATGATTTCAGATTTACAGTCTCGGATAGTAAAGAATATAATGGTTTACTGCGTCTAGGTCACATTGGAATAGGAAACCAAATGAGAATCGTAACAACGTACAAACCAGCAAATAAACTCACTTACTGTACCAAATGCTGGAGGTTGGGGCACCTACGCAATCAATGCAAACAAAAAATTCAAAAGTGTAGAATATGCTTACTTACTTATGATGAAAACCATAATGAGATATGCTCGAAAGAATATCAATGCGCTCAATGCCATATGGATCACTACTCGCTCGACTCAAAATGTCTCGCAATTCAACAATATCGTAATAATCTCAACCGAGCAGTTAAACAAGCAGTAGAAGACGGAGTAATCACACGTAAATCGACCGAACAACAATCAGCTCCAACAGTTGGTCCACCTAACTTAGACACTGCATCTTTTCCGTCATTAACTTCTGCAGTGACGAACTCAATGCCGTACAGAACACCACCATGGTTAACAACAACAAAACCATCGGTGGCTCGTCAATATACAACAGATATGACCAATCAAGAACTTTACGAAAAGTTATGTTCGCATCTTGATGAGAAATCAAAACAATTGGACTCACGAATAATTAAATTGGAACAAGAAATGAGTACAAAAGGAAAAATAATCAATGAATTTCGACAAAGTTTATCAAAGGCGATAGAAGTACTTAAAACGTTAACGCATGAAATCATTTATCCAATAACAAAATCTATTTCAAGAATGGACAAAAAGACTAAAGAAACAGTGGATAATGTTACAATAATATTAAAAACACAAGTTGAAGCTTTACAAAAGGAGATTAATGTTGAAGACAGAATTAGCAATCTTAATGAACACACAGATAATCAACAACAATTACAAGATTTATCTATCTCATTAACATAAACAATCAATGCTCAATCCAAACGCTTCTGCTTTTGCTTATGCTTATAATGTTTCATCTAATCCGTTACTAGAAGCACTAAATAGACTTAAAGGATGTCAAATCTCAGGTAAAGATTACCAAGTAGCTTTAGCCCCTCTCTCTGAATGGTACTCATCATCTACCATCAACAGTGTGCTTGGTAAATGGGAAGAGCATAACCACCAAAACAAAATAGTAGGAAACAAACAGACAAATCCGTTAAATTTTATTCTGTATAATGTACAAGGACTAAACTCACGAGGATTAGAAGTGTTAGAGCTAATTCATCAATTTGACGCATCGTTTATTGTGTGTACAGAAGTAGGAGAACAATGGAACACCTTAAGACTACCCGATTTCAACATTTTTCATGAAAAAGGAACAAACAAAAATGGAGGAGTGATCATAGGGGTGGGTAAACATCTCAAAGCATCTAAAGTAGAAACAAACATGCTGAACACACTAGTAGTAGATATATTCGGTCTCAATGAACCTCTAAGAGTGATAGGCATATATTGGCCTGATAGTCATAAAAGAGACTTAAACGAAATTAATACGTTCATAAATAATAACACAATAATAGCAGGAGACTTCAATGCATCACTAATGCAATGGAACAGTCCAAAAACAGATAAAAGAGGTGAAATAGTTAAAAGGTGGAGTGAAGATAATAATCTACAATATATACACAGCACAATAAACTCTTCTAAAAGATCACTTCGTAACATAGATTATGTTTTTACGAACTTTGTAGGGATATCAGGACAGACGATAGAATTTGGAACTAGCGATCACTGGCCGCTCGTATATAAATCTGAATGCGTCTATTTCGAAACAATAAATAAATTCCAAGTAGTTAACTGGAAAATATACGAAATACTTCTCTGTTTGCTTCAAGAATATTGGATAAAACAACTGCAATGTAGTGCAACAATTGAGTGGTATAGAGATTACATTAGGTTTCTAGCCGCACTGAAGAATCGCCTAACTGTTTGGCACAATAAGGAGAAATGGAGACCATCATACCGCATGAGATTCTACAAAAACTTAAAGTGGTAAGAAAAGTAAAAAATAGATTTCATCGCAGTCGACACGAAGAAGATAGACTAATACTACGTATGAAAGAACGTGAAATTAGAAAAGAGATAAATGAGTGCCGAGCAAGTCGTTGGAACGACTTTCTCTCATCAATTCAGTCGAGTCAAGGTAAAGCAAATAATATCTTTTGGAAATACTTATCGCGAATCTATAGACCGACGGTCCTACCATTTAATAAAATAGCTGTCAAAAATACACATTTAAACGTTCCCAAAGAAATAACAGACGCACTGTTCGATCACTATAGTAAACTGTACTCTTTACCAACAATAAACCATATAGATCCATACGACATAAAAATCGTCTCAGAATATCAAAAAATCTTAGCCGATCTATTATCTTGCGACAAAAAGATAAAAATAACCAGCACTTATGAGATAAAAAGAATTGTAAAAAATCTCAAAGCGAAAAAATCATCTGGTGAAGACAATATATCAAACTTTATAATTAAGAAGCTCCCTCCCGCATACTTAGAATGTTTAAGTAGATGTTTCAATGATTGGATGAGCCACTATATGTATATCGATGATTGGAAAATAGCTAAAATCATTACTTTGAATAAGTTAAAAGCAGGCATCCCAACTTGTGAACAAACTCGACCGATTTCACTTCTAGCTACCCACTCAAAAATTTATGAACGAATCTTGTTAGATAGAGTAAAAGAATGGGCTGACTCAAATAAAATAATACCTCCGGAACAGTCTGGATTTCGTAAAGGAAGTTCACTACAAACTAGAGTTCTTTCGATATATCAAGAAATTAAAAATAATCTAGCAGGAAATATACCCACGTTAGGCATATATGTAGATTATAAGAAAGCATATGATCTAGTGTGGCATATGGGTCTGATTGTCAAATTATCCAGAATGCAGATTCCAAATGAACTATTAAAAATAATTGTCAATTGGCTGTCCAACAGAAGAGCTTTCATCTCCTTCGGGAACGTTAAATCGGAAGTTTTTAAGATACATATTGGACTTCCTCAGGGTAGTTCGCTAAGTCCATACATTTTTATAATCTACCATGCAGACATAGTGAATTCAGTCGGAGCTTTCTCTACACACCTTTTCGCTGATGATCTCAGTACTCTGATAGTACCACCAGTTCAAAAAAACTATCAAGAGATGTTAAATTTTATTAACTCAGCTGGTTCTAAAATTTGTCAGAATCTTTTCGAGTACTCAAGTAGATGGAAGCAACCAATAAATGTCTCAAAAACAGTGGTTCAAAGTTTTTATTCATCAGTGAAGAGACCGAACGTTGAAATTAGTATGAATAACACTAACCTAGAAATAGTCAATTCGTTCAAATATCTAGGATTCACATGGACGGATAAGTTATCTTTAAAACCCACGGTAGATAGATGTTTGGAAAACATTCAGAACTCATACTGTAAGCTGAGATTACTCCAACGAAATAAAAACCTATCCTGTAAGGTATTAAGAACTTGTTTTTTTGCTTATTCCTTCCCGTTTTTTACATGGATATTTCCGTTTTTTCCGTTACTGCCGAAGACCCAACAAGATCTTTTTCGCAGAAAATACAGAGTCGGACTTAGATTAATACATAGATGTCCATTTATTAAAGCAGAAGATATTCTAGAGTTCACTAAAGAAAAATCAATCGAATCATATGTCTGCAAATACCTGGAGAAACGTCTTGCTAAAGCTCACTATACAGATTTAGGTCTTTCACCATTTTATGAAGATATATTTTATTGGGATCATCTCCACCTAGATAAAGTAAACAATCGCACAAAAAGAGAAGGACTTGGGATCGGGCATCTTCTTCGTCTAACTAGGATAAGAAAATTGAAAAAACGTCACCAGTCGTACCTGGTGACCTGGTTATCATTTATTGATCAATACAAGGTTGAAAACCCTCAAACAAGCTCTGTGTAGGCTAATTATCTCTAATAGCGCTCATTTCTCTCTCTTAAAAAATTGTTTCTCCTTTGCTCTTCTATCTTCTCTCTCTACAGTATCTTATTCTTCTTCTTTTTTTTTAATTCTTTGATACTCGTTACCTCCATTCTGTAATAATTGCATACACGAAAGCACACGCAAAATTCGGCAAGATCTAAGCTTAATGCAGTCTATGTAGTGGCTTATCATATAATCTAATATATCAGTGTAAGCGCTTCCGAGCGAAACACTTAAATAAAATGATGCAAAAACCAAAAAAAAAAAAATATAATGATCTAGTTGAAAATAATAATGTTAAGTAAGTTACCAATCGGTGAGTGAATGTATTAGACGAAAAGTCTTTAAAAAAAAAGTTTTAAAATAAAATCTTTCGTTATTGTTTTAGTGCTTCAATTCAAGCATCAGCTATGAATGATAATGATTTACCGATATTACCACAAGTGATGTCATTCAATTGCTTGTATTTTGCGTTGTATGCCTAATTTAATCCATTTTTATTTCCATCTTATAATACGAAGAACAACGTGGTCATTTTCTGGTGAATTACTCGATGGTTATATATGGAAACAAATGTTAGAACTTCATGTTCCATATTTATTTAAATTTGAATTTCATATGTGGATTGCGAAAAAGCGTCCAAAATTAGATTTAGATATAGTTGTGAGTTCATTTGAATATTTTGTTAGAAAATATTCTAATTGGCATATGATTATTAATCGATGGAGATTTAATGGTCAAACTAGAGGTAAATAAAATTGATTTAAAGCATTAAAAGCAATTGACTGAGTGAAACTTTATGATAATGATAAATTTTTTTTGTTGATAAGTAATTTTTTAACGAAAGAAGAGTGTTCAACGGAGCTCTGATTCATTTAATAAAAAAATATTTTGTGCAAAGAAACTTTTACAGTATTAATTTCAAAAAGATAATTTTGTTTCTCGTTACTGATACATTCTTTTGCTTTTTTAGAAGAATTTATCATGTTACGCACATTGAACTATCATAAACACAAATGTAACTATGCCTTTTATCTATAGTGGATCATTTGATACACGATCAACAGCAACAATGGTCAGTGATCATTATCGATTTTATTGAAATATAAGAAAATTCAGAATACATATGACAAAGAGAAAACCAAAAACTACTTGGTCTTCTTCATTATTTCAACAAATCGATTATCTAACTATAGAAATGCCAATAATACGTTTTTCATTTTGAAATTATTTATTGAATATTGGTAAGAATAATATATTATGGGTGGGTCAGAATAAATGGCGGTGCTAGTATTTTATCAATATCTTTTTCAATTGTCATAGTTTGAAACTAAGTTTTTTCTCAAAAGATCCAGCGTTCAATTCTCTACAAAACTGTATATAAACTGATGTGATAGGGATAAAATCAAACAAATCTATTTGAGCAATCTAGTGAAGATGCAACATAACCAACTTTGGGTGTGGGTATCGATGAACGTAACTATATCCACACCCGCACTCTTGTCAAATAAGGTATTTTTAGCGATTCTTTAGTCAATATCTCTCTCGAACATAGTGGTATCGGGCTGAAAATCTGACCGTAGTTACTCAAGTATAGTCCCAACATGTTATGGAATTTAGACATAGGTCGAGATCGTTTTTTGAGTGCGGGGAGTTCAAGAAAGTTGCTTCGCTTTTTCGACCTATTGGGTCTACACTGACAAGCTTCTGAAGTGAAGATCATGTTTCGCATGACAGTATTTGACATATGACTTTTTGATGTATTAAGAGGCAAACTACAGTTTTGATTGCTGAAATCCGAGTCCATAACTGCATCACAAAAGTATCATTCGTCACTTCAATATTAATTATTATATAATCGGTTAGTGGATCTTGGAAATCGATACGCCTGACAAAAACAATTAAGTTTTGAAAACAAATGGGAAAAAAACAAAAAAATTAAGGATTAAAATCGAAAATTACTTTTCTAAAGTTTATTTCTTATTTAAAAAGCAGAATGCAGCTGCCAGTTCGTATTTTATTCTAAGAATAGCTATCACATAAGATCATGTTTCTTATAAATATTCTTTTTCTTCTTTGCTCTCTTGGAAATTTCTCTGCTCAATTGCTTATTCTCAATATTCGTGATAATGGTAAAATTTGTACACAATGGATGAATCGGCCAACTAGTAATGTGTCTGTTGAAACGAATCGTGAATGTATCAATGCTGTTTCATTGGAGCAAAATCATACAAATGCAGAAATGCATCTCTGCTGTCAAGGCATGCTATCAACTACGCCAGCACCATATTTTCCAAAAGAATGTGGTAAACAATTGTACACACCATTAGGATAACGTATTATTGGTAGTTCTGTTGTACAACCACATTCATGGGTAAGTTTAACGTACTTCTTCTTTCGCTCTATTCAAGTTTCATCACGTATTGCTATCTCTTAGCCGTGGCATGTTTTGGGTAAATGGAACTGAGCATATGTATGGTGGAACTCTGATAGATAAATGACATATTCTTACGGCAGCACATTGTATTAAACCAAAACAAGTCTATACAGTTACTGTCGGTCTACATGATATAGTCGGGGCGCATTTTATCGAACAGAAAATAAGTGTAGAAAAGATCTATGTACATGAAGAGTATGATAGCGTGAAACTATCAAATGATATAACCATCGTTTATTTATCAAAATCTGTTGAAGTTACAGATAAAATAAACTTTATCTATCTTCCAGACCCAGAAGCAAACATTGGTGAACAAGTTTATGTCGGTAAGAAAGGATTGCACTCTTTTCATTTTTTTTTCTTTTTCTCCCCTTGAAAAAATCTTAATGATAATTGATACACGAGCAGAAAGAAATAGAATCAAACTTGAGATTTTCCACCTTATTGGTCATTGTTTCCTTTCTTTTGTAGTCGATTGGGGGAAAACATCAGTAAACGGTAATGTAAGTGCAGTACTGAAACAAACAGATTTGAATGTAATGAGCTGTCGTGGATTTTGGGCTTCATCAAAGTATGATATTTAAAAACAAATGTGTGCCGCCACAGCGGAAGCTGGGCAATGTAATGGCGATTTTGGTGATCCCTTGATGTATCAGCACAATGGACGAGGGTAAGGAGTATAATTTCTACTTGTTAGAAGATAATCAATTCATCCAGAATAACTTTTCTTTTACTCAACTAACTTTTCTTTGTACAGATATTTGAATGGAATTGTCAGCTTCAGCGCAAATTGTACAACTGGCATACCAGCTGTCTTTGTGTGTGTTAGTTACTATTTGCCATGGATCAAAGCAAAAGCGGCATTATCAACGACGTGAGGTAGTCAATGTGACTAAGACTTTTTTGCGTCGCTTAGAATTTTTCTATTAAAACGCTTAATGAATGAATACTGGAAAATAAAACGTTTTGCTTCGAGAGGTGTCCAAGGACGGAGAAGTAGACATTTCTCGAAGTTCTTCTGAAACTCCACGAATACTAAAATTTAAAAAAATACAATATCTACGGTATTTCGTTTGTATTTACACTCACTTTGGATGTGGGTTTCGATGCGGATCAAAACAAAGAAAATACCTACCCACACCATATATACTACTTGCCATATTACAAATCAAAACTTGTACATAAACAGAAAAATCTTTGCTCTTCGATTTCTAAAAATCTTAGAATTCTAAGGTGTGCATGGACTAGAATTTGTCCAGTCTACTTGCTACATCTAGCAGATAAACAAAGATTCATTAAGAGAAATAAATAACGAGAATTTTGAAATGTACAAAATGTGTTAAATGACTGCTATAACGCTCTGGAGTGATCGTTTTTTTCTGAAATCAGAAACAAATGATGTTGCCAATCTGTTGGGTGTGAGTGTGGGTGTGGGTGTAGGAGTTACTCTTCTTAGGCCCACACACCAGCTCAACATCCACACTCATACCCACACCCACACCCCATACCCACCCCACCCACACCCACACCCAAAATAATGATATAAAATAGACACAAAAGATGCTAAAACAATTCGTCTGAAAACTGTTTGGTGTAAATCCATGAATAACTCCCGGTCTAGCAGTCATTTAACACATTTTGTACATTTCAAAATTCTCGTT